GACCCCGTAGGACAGAGTAGAACTGCCCCACAGAGTTTCCAAAGAGTGCCTGGTGGATTCGAACCGCCAACCTTTTGGTTAATAGCGGAACTCTTAACCAGTATGCCGCCAGTTTCCATCTAGACAACAGATAAGTGGTAACTTTGGTGAAGGGTAAGACAGTACACAATACTGGGGAAGTCAGCACTACCTGACCAGGGCAAAGTCACAGAAGCTTCACAGACACATCCAAATGCCCTGAGGTACTGAGCTACCATGGTCTTGAGGGACATCTAGCTCAACTGGCAAAGCATAGTCTATAAAGAAAATGTTCTACATCCGACTGTGGTGAGTAATGTCTAGGATCTTAAAAGCTTGCAAGCAGCCAACTAAAATACTCCACTGGTTCCACTCTGTCTGGAGCAAGAGAGAATGAAGGAAAAAAAACAAAAACACAAGGGAAAGATTAGTCCAAAGGACTAACGGACCACAACTACCACAGCCTCCACCAGACTGAGTCCAGCACAACTAGATGGTGCCCAGCTACCAATACTTACTGCTCTGACAGGGATCACAATAGAGGGTCCCAGATCAAGACCTGGAGAAAAATATAGAACAAAATTCAAACTCACAAAAAGGACCAGACTTACTAGTCTGACAGAGACTGGAGAAACCCCGAGACTATGGCCCCCTTTCACCCTTTTAACTCAGTACTGAAGTCACTCCTGAGGTTCACCCTTCAGTCAAAGTTTAGACGGGCCTATAAAAAAAAAAACAATAATAACATAGCTCAACCATGTGTACGAGACTAAGTGGGCACACCAGCCCAGGGGCAAGGACGAGAAGGCAAGAGGGAACAGGAAAGCTGGACAAATGGAAATGGGGAACACAAGGTCAAGAAAGGGAGAATGTTGACCCATCGCAGGATTGACAACCAATGTCACAAAACAATATGTCTATTAATTATTTAATGAGAAACTGATTTACTCTGTAAATCTTCATCTAAATCACACACACACAAAAAACTCCTTAGATCTTCCTTTGTCTTCCATATCTAGGTGAATTCTTATCTCCTTCCCTCATTCTCAATGGAAGAATTTTCCCTCCTGTTGTTCAAGTCTAATCCCTGCATCTGTTCTCTAGATCTTATAGGCTTTGAATTGCTCAAAATTCTTGTTCCACCGATTATCCCTCCTCTTTCTTGGATTAACAGCTTCTCCCTCTTAATTTACTCTTTCCCCTCATAAATATATCCCTAGTCACCATAACACTTGTTGATGATTCTGTCTTCCTCTCTAGGTACCATTACAACTTTCTTTTTCTTTTCATAACTAACCTTTCAAGGGAGAAACCCACACTGTATTAACTTCCTCTTATGTTATTGGCATGACTTTGATTCTTGCATATCACTGAAATTGCTCTTGCCAAGGTCACCGGGGACTTAGCTGCTGAATACAATGAGCCCTGTCTTAACCTTTTAGCTCTATCAACCACTCCCTTCTCTTAAAACTCTCCACCTTTGGATTCTTGGATGTCACTCAATCTTGGTTTTCCACCTACTTTTCTGGCTCCTTTTCAGTTTTCCTTGCAGTCCCCTAGCTCATTAAATATTGGTATTCCCCATGCTTTTCATCATAGGTGTTCTTCTTAAACTATCCAGTCTTCATGAGCAACTTCAGCCAGTCATAGGACTTCATGTAACATCTGACAACAATCCGGTCTGTGTTTCTAGCTCCGAGATTTAGATTCATATATTCAACTGTCTTAGATGTCTCGTTTGGATGCCCCACAGACTCAACCAAATTCAACATGTTCAGACATGAAATTATCTCTTCCCAAATCCCGGTCCTGATTTCTGCCAGACTGCCAAATGGGCTGCTCTGCTCGTAATTAATCTCTTGAGGAATTGAATCAAAATTTCTTTTAAAAGTCTACGAATCTTTTACAGTTTTTTATTGTGGTGAAATATATATAACAGAAAATTTACCGTTTCAATCATTTGCAAGTATACAATTCAGTGGTATTAATTACATTCACAATGTTGCGCAACCATCATCACTATCTATTTCCAGAATTCTTTCATCACTCCAGACAGAAACTCTGTACCCATTAAGCAATAACTTCCCATTCCCCACCTCCATCAGTCCCTGGTAACCTCTAATATACTTTCTCGCCCTATGGATTTGCCTATTCCAGGTATTTCTTATAAGTGGGATCATACAATATTTTTCCTTTAGTGTCAGCTTATTTCATTCAGTATAATGTTTTCAAAGTTCATCCATGCCATAGCATGTATCAGAACTTCATTCCTTCTTATGGCTGAATAATATCCTACTGTATATATATAGAATCCTCGGGTGGCACAAAATGTTAAGAGCTTGGCTGAAAAAGCTGAAAAGCTGGCAGTTCAATTCCACCCAGAGATGTCTCAGAAGAAAGGCCTGGTAATCTGCTTCCAAAACTTTGGCCATTGAAAACTCCACGGAGTACAGGTCTACTCTGATACTCATGGGGTCTCCATGAGCCGAAATCAACTCAAAGGCAACTGGTGGCTTTTGGTTTTGTTTTGTTTTTGTTTTTTTTTTTGTATGTCTAGACCACATTTTGTTTGTCCATTCATCTGTTGGTGGACATTTAGGCTGTTTCTGCCTTTTGACTATTGTGAATAACTTTGCCATGGACATTGGTATACAATTAATTGTTTGAGACCCTGCTTTCAGTTCTCTTGGGTATAGACCCGGATATGGGATTGCTGGGTCATATGGGATTTCTATGTTCAACTTTTTGAGAAATCTCTTTTGAGGAATACTTTTTTTGTCTCTCTCTCTCTGTTAGTCCTCAGAGCCAGTTACCAGTTCACGAAGACTACTTTCCCAGCATCTCTGAGATCTGATCCTTCCTCCCCATCCCTACCAGAAACGCTTTAGTCAGGCCATCACTTTGGCTGAAGTGAGAGGACAGATTCCTATCCGGCTCCTTGTCCCCATCTTCTGCCCCTGATATCCATTCACCACAATGCAGCTGGACTGACCTCCCTACAGCACAGGCAGGCTCATTCCGCTCTCCTGAAGTCAAGACTCAAGGTTCTCCAGGTAAAACATAAACTCCTCAGTTTGTAATCAAAGCTCCTCGAGACACTGCCGATGCCCATCTGCCCAGCCTCTTCTCTTCCCGGCATTCCAGCCTTATCAAACCAGCACTTACACAAATCAACGGGGTCAAAAACCGTTCTCTCTCTCTCTCTTTTTTTAAACGTCTCCTCTCCTTTCATTTTCCATTTCCCTGCAGCCTGCTCCTCTCACCCCCAGCCCAAGGCCAGTACCATTTCTACAAGTATTTTCACAGTGTATAGCTTCAATTGTTAATTGAAAGCAGCCTTAATGTATAGTAAACTAAGAAAACAAAACCAACCAGTTGCTGTCGAGTCATTTCCAACTCATATGACCCCATGAGTGTCAGAGTAGAAATGTGCTCCATAGGATCTTCAGTGGCTGATTTTTCAGAAGTGAATCACCAGGCCTCTCTTCTGAGGTGACTCTAGTGGACTCAAACCTTCAACCTCTCAGCAGCCGAGCATGTTAACTATTTGCACCACCCAGGGACCCCAACCCAAGAAAAGAAGCACCTTAATATTGAAATGGGATGAGGAGCAAGGATCTCCAGATATTTTTGCCAAGAAGGGTTTAGGAGGAACTCTTAGCCCTCATTGAAACTGAGGTTTATGATTGAAATTGGGGTTATAAACTATTTTTTCCTGTTAACCTAAATCTATCAAGTGTCTCCCTTGTAGTCTAAGTTATTCAAAAGTTTTACTCGAATCCCCATAAGATATATGTCATATTACTATACTCCCATAACCGATCTGGCAGGCATCTAGCCCTCCTGGAGTTTCTAGGAGTCACTAATACCCTTGAAAATTTTCTTCTCTGCTCAAACTGGCTAAAGTGGGTTTTTTGGGGTTTTTTTGTTTGTTTTTTTAATGAGCTGTAATTCACCTTCCATGAAATTCGCCCCTTTAAAGCGTATCATTCAATGATTTTTAGTATCTTCACAAAGTCTTGCAACCATTACCACTACCTCATGTTAGAACATATTTATCAAGCCAAAAAGAAACCTGGTCCCCATGGTGATTCCCATTTTATAGGTAAGTGTTAGGTAATTTTGTCTAACCACGTTTAGTGGGAGAGCTGAGGCAAACTCCGAGAGCCCCTGCTTCTTGAACTAGGACTCCAGGGCTCTCTCCACTATGTCTCAACTGCGGAGCATCACACCCTAGAGGACAAATCTCTAAGGATGGGAATTTAGGCAGTGGAACAAGACTGAAGGACCTGGATACATCTGTAGTACCTCACTTTGTTTCTTATTTGTACGAGCATCTCGATACCACAGCAATACCCACTGCCGTTGAGTCAATTCCAACTCATAGCGACCCTGTAGGACAGAGTAGAACTGCCCCATGGGGGTTTCCAAGGCTGTAATCTTTACCGAAACAGACTGCCACACCTTTCTTCTGTGGAGCAGCTACTGGGTTCAAATCGCCAACCTTTTGGATCGCAGCTGAGCGCTTAAGCACTGCACCACCAGGACTCCCTAGTACCACAGCAAACACATTGGCAATCATTATTGTTCCTCTCAGGGGTGAGTTTTCTTCCTAGCCTCCACAAACCAGAAGCAGGCACCTACCCCACACCCCCCGGTCCTTCCAGGAGAGCAGCAAGCTCAGAACCTGTGCTCAGGAAGTTCAGGGGCACTTAGGACAACAGAGGCATTTCCCAGAGGGGTGGGGGGGCGGTTTCCGAAGGCAGAATCCCTCCCCACCGAGAAATTCCCCAGTCCAAAGTGGGCATGCCTTCACCTCTTCCCAATCCACGCCATCTTTAGCTGGTTTCTAGAAGAATCCATTTATTCCTTCCTTGTTTTCTCCCAGAGTGAGGGGGACATTTCACACTAGACTCTTCCCCTCTGTTACCCAAATGCACACACACTCACAAACACTCACACACTCACTCACACACACTCACACACACACCACCTCTCCTCTCCAGTTGGCCCAAGACACCATTCACTATCTCGACTGCATCTACGGAAAGGGAAGAGACATCAGGCCCAGAGGAAAAGTATGCATTGTCCAGACCACACAGCAGAGCAGGAGACAGGAACACTTACAGAGAGAAAGAGACATTAGGGTTCAGAGCACACCTGGATGGGGAAGCACTCACCTCATAGCCGTAGCTTTCTTGTCTGAGTCGAATCCTCAGAGACCTTGACAAGCACAGAACAAAGGTGATTAGCTGATGTAACCAGCCCTGTGTGATCGATTTATTGCCCTGTAAACTTGATGGCAGTTGGAGGTCAGTAGTATGTTTTCCAAAAGACCATAAAAGGGCCCTTGCTTGCCCTGTGTCGTAGAAGTAGTTTCACTTGTTAATCAAAGCGGAAGGCAGGGTTTTTCTAACAGCTGTCTCTGGGCTGTGTTCCTGCTCATTTATCCAGTTACCTTGCTCGCCACACTAGAGTAGCCTCACCTGTCTGCCCATCCAGCCTAAAGCGCTCAGGAGCTAGGGTCTCTTCCATCTTGTTCCTGCCTATCCTCTGTCCTTAGCACTCTGTCCATCATACGTAGATCTTTTAAAACATAGAGGTATTTGCTGAATGTGTAATTGAAAGAACGAATAGCTCTTGGCTCATCACACTGTTCCTTTCTTCATTTTGTTCCCCAGGGTTCTGTTGGGGTAACTTAGTTTTTCATTAATTCATATAAGCTTTCCCCACCAGTCATTTTACGTAAGTGGAACACCCCTGAAATAGAAATTATGTGATCTTGAAGTGGAAGACACTGCTAGTAAATATTTGTCCCTCTTTCGGACCGCTCAGCGCTTTTTGAAAACTCTTCTTATATACTTAAGGAACTTCCTACCCTGAGAACTTTGCTTCCCCAAGAAGGAGGCTTGAATTCACTTTCACAGCCTGCTTTTTGGCCAAGGTAGAGGCAAGTGCCTGGGCTCAGCCCACAAGATGTGCTTGCACGTGATTTCAATCCAGAACAGAGTAGAGAGAGGAAGCAGGGGCTGGGTGGGACCCAGCGGGGTGGAGAGACATCCCTGCTTCAGAGGCAGCAAGAGGGAGGCCCCAGCACTGGAGTGCAAGCCTCCAGCCATGTGCAACAGGCAGAGGCACCAGAGCGTCCCACAGGATTATCTGGGTGTTGGCCCATCCACACGGCCTACAAACATGACTGCCTACTCCTCCTAGACTTTCTCTATGTCACTAATATCTTTCAAATGTTTCTTTTCTCCTTAAAGTAAGTGTGCTTTTGTGTCTGGCTGTCTTCACTCAGCCTAGTGTTTTCAAGTTTCATGCAAGCTGTAGCATGTATCGGGACTCCATTCCTTTTTACAGCTGAATAATACTCCATTTTAGGTATATACCAAAAAAAGTGGGTTCTTTTTCATGACTGAGATATAATTCATATACCTTGAAATTCACCTTTTTAATGTGTACAACTAAGTAGCTTTTGGTATACTCACCAAGTTATGCGACCAGTTACCACTGCCTAATTCCAGGATGTTTTCATCACCCCAAAAGCAACTTTGTATCCATTAGTCGTCACTTCTCACTCCTCTCTCCCCTCAGTCCCTGGCAACCACTAATCTACTTTCTGTCTCCATGGATTTGCCTATTCTGGACATTTCATATAAATCAAATCATAAAACATGTGCCTTTGGTGTCTGGCTTTTTTCACTCGGCATAACGTTTTCAAGGTTCCTCCATGTGGTAGCATGGATCAGGACTTCATTCCTTCTTATGGTTGACTAATACCCCATTTTATGTATAGACCATATTTTGTTTATCCATCCGTTGATGGACATTCAGGTTGTTATCACTTTGGGGCTATTAGGAATGAGCATTCATATAGAAGTTTTTGTGTGGATATATATTTTCAATTATCTTGAGTATATATTTAGGAGTGGAATTACCAGGTATCATATGATAACTTTAATGTTTCAAGGAACTGCCCAACTGTTTTCCAAAGGAGCTGCACCATTTTTACATTCCCACCAGCAACTCATGATGGTAAAGTAGGTTCTTTTGATAGCTTCTAAGAACTGTAAGTAATACAGTGTCCACAGTAGTCCACCATGTTTTCTTCAAGTGCTCAGTGTGTGGGGAAGTGTGTGCATGCACACACACATACATACACACACACACACACACACACATACACACACAGATACTTGGTTTCTGCCATTATAAACTCCTGGAATGACATATCCACCTTATCATTTTCCCTGTTACAAGAAGCCTTTATTAGAAGGGAAATGTACCTGGATCTCACTTCAGATTGGAAGATGCCCTGGCCAAAGATCAAGAAAAGAGATTTATCGTTACACAAGATCTTTCTATTCTTTGTGTGATGCATGACTCTTAACTCCCCGTGCCCCATGCTTATTTGTGACATCATTCACATTTCAAGGGTAAGAAACATTCCCAGCTAAAAACCTGCTTCCTAATATCCAAAAAATGGGCTAACTTCACTATATTTTCTTGCAAAGTAGCAAATGAAAGATATTGGGTCACATGCTTGGGTTGGCAGTGTATCAGTGAGGGAGCCATCTTAAAGGGCAGAGACAAACACGTGACCCAATATCTTCCAGTTGGTAGTTAGCAAGAAGGCACGGTGAGGTTAGCTATTGGCAGAGCTCATAAAGTGATGAAAGGAAATGGAGTACCAGGTCAGGACCCGAAGGTATGTATGACCCAGAACTTTCAGAGCACCACCCTCCAAGCCAGTTGTAAAACCCTCAGTGACTGCTGCAATGACAAGAAGGGAATATCGGTGAGACTACAATGCTGTCATCCAAGCGTAACACAACCTGATCTTTGCAGGTTGTTTTTAGTTGTCACTGAGCCAACTCATGGAGACCCTACATCTAACAGAACGAAATGTGGCCAGGTCCTGACCATCCTCACAATCATTAGTATGTTTGAGTTTGTGGTTGTGGTTATTGTGTCAGTCCATCTCATTGAGGGTTTCCCTAAATTTCGCTAACCCTCTAATTTGCCAAACATGATGTTCTTTTCTAGGTATTGGTCTTTCCTGATGATGTGTCCAAAGTAAGCCAGCCGAAGTCTTGCCATCCTTACCTCTAAGGAGTATTCTCGTAGTATTTCTTCAAAGACTGATTTGTTCTTTCTTCTGGCAGTCCAAGGCATATTCAATCTTCTTTGCCAACACCGAAGTTAAAATGTGTCAATTCTTCTTCTGTCTTCCTCTTCACTATCCAGCTTTCACATGTATATGATAATTAATGTTATAACAATGATGCTTTTAATAAGAAATACATTTCTTCCTGTTTTAGTGAAAGGATTGGAATTGTTATTTTTGCTTTTGGCACAGCTATGAAGAGATAAAGTGAGATTATGTGATCTGGAGAAGACTGAACGCATCAAAAAGTAAGACCCCACCCTTTCCCAGGAGTTTGAGAGTGGGCCCATGTTGTAGGGCCTTTCTGGGGGGGCCACACATGGACATGGCTCCACAGACAGTGGTTCTCAAAGTGTAGTGTGGGGTCCAACCCCTGGGGGTTCCTGAGATCTTTTTGGGGGTTTGTGAGCTAAAACTATTCTCATAAAAATACTAAGAAGTTATTTGCCTTTTTTAGTCTCATTCTCTCATGAGCGTACAGTGGAGTTTTCCAGTGGCTACGTGATGTGGGATATCACAGAAGATTGAATGTACAAGCAGATATGATAATTCATCTGGTATCTATAAAGCCAGACTTTAAAGAGATTTGCAAAACTGTAAATAAACCCTAATGTTCTGACTAAATTTTTTTTTTGGAAAATATATTTTTCATAAAAAATGTGTTATCTATATTAACATAAAAAGGGTTTGTTGTTACTTTCAAGGGTAAGTTTTTTTAAAATTCTGTTTTAAATTTTAATGTGATAAATGTCAAAGGATATATCCCCATAAACCAAGACTCCTGGGATCCTAGATAATTTTTAAAAATGTAAAGGGTCCTGGAACCAAAATGTTTGAGGACTGTTGATTTTGGTGTATTGATGTTTCAAACTTTTTAAATATATGTATTTAAAAATCCTTTCCCCAAATGGAATTTCAGTATGTAAATAAGTGAATGAGTGAAGCCAGGGACAGAGCACAGAATCCTGCCACCTTGCCTTTTCCCCACCCCAGCGGTCAAGAAGAGCCCTGGGGCTCTGGACAGCCCCACAGTTCAGGAATGCCAGCTCTAGCCTGGCACTGGGTATTTTGCAGATGAGGAAACATAATCCCAGACAAACTGAGAGACTTAACCAACTCTTCTGACCCCAAAGATCGCTTCTGAACAGCACAAAATGCCCTGACCAATGGACCTAAGTTCTGTAATGGGGAGAGGCAGGGTGGTGACCCAACACTTAGAGATGTGCACGTCTTCTCTCGGGAGGGAAACTAGCGGATCCTCAGACCCACCTCCTCTAATGACCCCTCCCAGAGCTTTTAAGATGTTTCTAATTCCAGACCACAGACCTACGTGTCCATGTAGGGCTGGCTGTTCAAAGGCCAAAGGATGATGAGTTCAGGAGACAGGAGACAGACTGAGGCTTGGGAGCTCTTTCTGCTGTACAGCCACATAGGATCTGAGCTGCCAAGATGGCGTCTGGGAAGCTGACCTACCTTAACCAAGGAGTTCTTGAACTAGGGCCCACACACCGCCAAGGGGTACATGGATATAGTTTGGGGGATCTGTTAACATAGTTGTGAAAGATACGTCTTCTTTTCACTAATGTCTAACTGAAAGTTACCATTTCCGTAGATTATGTCGACAACAAAGCATGGTTTTTTGTTTGTTTTTTAATTATAATCACACGAATTTTCAAATCCAATTATAGTTGTTAGTTGCTGTTGGGTCAACTGCGATTAATGGTGACCTTATGTATAACAGAATGAAACCTTGCCTGGTCCTGCTCCAACTTTATGATAATTGATATGTTTGAGCCCATTGTTGTGGCTATTGTGTCAAGCCATCTCATTGAGGGTCTCCTGCACTTTCACTGACCCTCTACTTTACCAAACATAATGTCCTTCTCTAGAGACTGGTCTTTCCTGATGATGTGTCCAAAGTAAGCCCAATGAAGCTTCATCATCCTCGCTTCTCAGGAGTATTCCAGTTTTATTTCTTCTAAGACTGATACAATTGTAGTAGATACCTCAAAATATCATCTATGCCGATCATTAGATTGAAATTATAGTATTATTAGTTTCACTGCTGGAGCTTGTTATTTAATGTGATCATTTAAAAAGTGCATACATTACTATATAATTTTTTAAAAAAATATTTGAATAAGCACATTTTAATAGGAGCCCCTGAGTGGTATAAATGGTTAACACACTCGGCTGCTAACCAAAAGATTGGTGGTTCAACTCCACCTAGAGTCTCCCTGGAGGAAACACTTGGCAATCTGTTTCTGAAAAAGCAGCCACTGAAAGCCTTATGGGGCATGGTTCTACTCTGATACACGTGGGGTCGCCATGAGTCGGAGTCGACTTTGACACAACTGGAACATTTTAATAGAGTGGGCTCCCTTTGAAATAGTATTTTGCTTTAGGCAGGGCCCTGGTGGAGCAGTGGTTAAGCGTTTGGCTACTAACCAAAAGGCTGGCAGTTTGAGTCCATCAGCTGCTCATTGGAAACCCTATGGGGCAGTTCTACTCTGTCCTATAGGGTTGCTATGACTCTGAATCGATTCAATGGCAAAGGGATTTACTGTAGGCATATGAAAACATTGTTCTGAGGTGGAGTTCCGTAGATTTCACCAGACTGCCAGTGGGGTCATGACACCACAAATATTGTAAACCCCTCCGTCCCTCCCTCAGGGCCTTGACATTTGGGGTTCTATATCAGAAAGACTCTCCTTCAGCACTTTCTGACAGCTAGAGCCAACTTCCACCCATTTGTCCTTGAGGGTGACAGAAAGGACTTCTTACATGTCAAGTAACTAATGCTTTCCTGGTAGTCTTCCTGGTTTGAACAAAGGACAGCTGACAAGTTTCCCACCTTTTCCATCAAAGGATTCCAATGGTCGTGCATCCACGTTTCATAAGTTGTATAACTAGCTCACCTCATCCCCAAGCCCCTGATCTATGACAATTAGAACACTGAGTTAATTTAATAATATTGTGTGTCCATAGCCTTACACAGAAGCTAGCACAGCAATCAACAAGCAGAATCTAGCTTCCTGGTATTTTTTATTAAAAAAAAAAACAAAAAAGACAGGGGTAAGGAAACACATTCATTTCAAACACTTTCATTTTCCCATAACACTAAAAGTAAATATCCCTCTTGAACATTAGTACATAACCTTTTTCTCCAAAATTTTAACCACCTTCAGTGTTGCAACTCTTATTTTTTCCAGAGTTGATACTCACCAAGCACAGCAACTGCTATGATGATTAAAAAAGAACAACCTAAGTACACTCATCCACCAACGTAAGTCCGGAGAGAAGCCCAAGCCGGAGGGGTAGGAAAAGGAGTGGACAGTCATAGATCTAGATTACTCCAGTGGCGGATTAGACTTCTGGGGCTCTGATCCTAAAGAGACCCAGAAAGACACCTCACAGGCTTTGCTGAACAAGAAGAAGCCTGAACCCCAAAGTGAGATTTCCCACGATTAAAGTATCACGCAACTCAGAATCTCGTGTAAATCCACTTGCTTTATTTTTCTCTGGCACATCAACTGCGTGTGTTTGGGTGACATGTGGCTATATACATCATGCACACAGTAGAGAAACAGGATTTAGACATTCTAAAGCACACCACTGTGAAAATAAATTATTTTTGACAGTCAAGCTCCCTCCTTCGGCTTTACCTGCTTGAATCTCTTCCTCATCCCTATGCCCATGCGATAAGGCTTTCCCTGAACCCCTCTTCCTCCTTTCAAGTGACTAGGCTCCTCCGTCCCCTCTCCATGAGGCTATTAGCTCTGATATTCTTACGTGATGTCTCGACTTGGTCACGATCAATTTCATCACCATCCGCTGCTTCCTTTGATCTTTCCTGCTTAGCTTTCCTCGCGTTTGCTTTTCTTCCTCTTTATCAAGCTTTCGGAATCTTGTTTCCCAATCCCTGTCACCAACAAGCAGCTAGTCTTTCTGGATTCTTCCTGGAGGTGTTGGTTAGCTCCCAGAGCTGGAACTGTACTGGCAAGGTATTTCTTTCTTTCTTTTTCCTTCTTATTAGTTATAGGTAACATAACACTTGCCAGCTCAATATTTTTCACTTGTACAATTCAACGAGGCCAATTACATCAATCATGTTGTGCAACCATCACCAACATCTACCTGGCAAGGTATTCCTTGTGCACTTGGCCAGAGGATGGGGCCCATTCCCCAACTGCACGCACATATACACATGCACGCACACACACATACATGCACTACATCATGGACTCAGTTTCTCTTTAGCAAATGTTGCATGGTGAACCATCAGTACCACACTAATCACATGTAGACATTAAGGCTGCCTATAGATTTTCCACCCCGCCCTCCTGCCCTCTCTGCAGGATTCAGATTCAACCCTTAGGATTCACAGATAAAACATACATTAAAATCAATAACAATTTACCCATACTGGGCATGAACCAATTAGCAACACACACTAATTTTATGAGCGTGAAAAATAAGGAGCTTCAGAGTCAGGCTCTTGCTCTGAGGATTCACAGAGTGCTTGTCCACGTCAATGAACTGAAGTTATGCAGGTTGATATTGTCGCTGGTTATGTTAATGGTTAGCACCTGTTGGGAAACAACGACAAGTATGGGGCATCTGGTGTTTGACGTTTCCTGGATGCATACACACACACACACACACACACACACACACACACACACACACACACGCACACACCATCAGGCACAAGCCGGTGCTCCACAGAACGTCCTGGACTTTCACAATTCATTTCTAGCTTCCAGACTGCCCACAGATTTTCAGGTGAGGAAGATGTGTCCTAGTTCTTTAGAGTCTGAAGACTGTTCAGTAACAGTGAAAAGTTAACAAGCCTCTAAATAATGCCACATGCAATCACTACAGAGAAATGAGCGCACAGACACATTGGAGAAAATGTCCCTTTTTCCATTCTTACGGGGAGCCGATTTTCCTCTGACCCTGCCCCCATCCCTTCATTGGACTTCCTCCTTCTCCTAGTCCCTCACAGCACTCCCATGATCTCCCAGTAGCAGTCTAGTATCCCTGCTCTTTTCTAGGCAACAACCTTCCAGAAGGTTCCACAGTGTGCTGAAGTTAGCTTGTGCATTAGCCCATGAGGTGATCAGCAACAGAACTGGGCAAAGCCCTCAATGCACTCTTGGTAATATTGGAGAAGTTGGTTGATAAGAAAATCACAAGTGTGAGAAAACAAAAAAAAAATACAAAGTTGAAGGAAACTTGTGTTTCAGATCTCATAACCAGAAAGATTCCGAGAGAACAGTTTAGGAAAGCGCACGGGAAGGGTAGGTGCTGGGACCGCCACCTACATCAATTCCAAGATGCAAATTTTCCACGTATGTGTTGTTACTGTTGTTAGCTGCTATTGAGTTGGCCCCAACTCATGGTGACCCCATGCCCAAGGGAAGAAAATGCTGCCAGGTCCTGTGCCATCCCTATGATCAGTTGTGGATCAGACCATCTACAGGGTTTTCATTGGCTTATTTATAGAAGCAGACCACCAGACCTTTCTTCCTAGTCTTAGTCTGGAAGCTCCACCGAAACCTGCTCAGCAACATAGCAACACGCAAGTCTCCAGTGACACACAGGGGGTGGCTGCGCATGAGGTGTATCGGCCAGGAACTGAACCGGCGTCTCCCGTGTGGAAGGCGGGAATTCTCCCACTGAACACCACCGCCTCGTCACATGTTTAACATTCATGAAATCAGAATGTGTCACACCATCAACAGTCTTAGAATTACTGTGGGCCGGGCAGCCCTCTCGACATAATGATCATTGCCTACGTACGTGTCAACATCACTACTGGTGTTACCCAAACTGCATAATCATTTCAGGATACTTCAGGAAGAAGCATGAATCCTGGTTGATGTCTGTGGTTGGATCAAGAAAGTACTAGAATCAAAACTTGTATAGTGGATGTTAGTGGCTTGACAAATCTTGAAATGTCTTTAAAATCTCACAGACAATAGTGGAAGAATCTCTATAAAATGCTAAATCACCAAAACCCTTGAAAATACAGACAGAAATATTGGGTGGACATTCTTCATTCTTAATTCTACATCAATTTAGTTTAGAATGTGAAGAAGTACTAAAATACCCTAACTGATTTGTGTTACTTAGAGTTTTCTCTTATACCCATTGCCGTCGAGTCAGTTCTGGATCATAGTAACCCCACAAGACACAGTAGAACTGCCCCACAGGGTTTCCACGGAGCAGCTGGTGGATTCGAACGGCCGAGCTTTTGGTTAGCAGCCAAGCTCTTAACCACTGTGCCACCAGAGCTCCAGTCTTCTTTTATATACATCCAATATTAAAATGATAAAACCTATGTCTAATGAAGTTTTAGAAAACTTTCTGTTGTTTAAAACAAAAGTTTTCAGCGATAGGAAAGCATTCTATCATGATTTTATCAGACTTTTTTTCTTTCTCTGTGGCATATGAAGTCACGGACTATCTTTTAACTGACAGTGTCTTAGATTCGATGAAATATGGTAGTTCAAGCTATTTGGGAAGTAGATCTCTGCGGCAGAGGTAAGGGAGTAAAGACAGAGCTTTGCACAGGTTTGCAGACAAGAAGACAAAGATGGAAAGTAAGGGTCCAGACCCTCAATTACAATCATGATAGACCATAAATTCCACCCCCCATGCTGCCCCCTGCTGAAACCATGAACACAGAGGGATTCCCAAAGGGATCTGCAGGAGAGGTGTCATTTGGGAGGGAAGCTGGCAGGCATGCTCCTAGGACTCTCAGGGCTGGGAAATACCACTCAGACTTGTCACTGGTCACAAACCTGTGTTGTAGAGTTGTAGTTGAAGGCCGGTGTGATCACAGTGTCATTCGCAGAGACGCTGACAGTGGTGATGGGAACACTGCCCACTCCCCAGATCTCCAAGTATCCCAGTTTCAAAGAATTTGTGCCACTGAAGTAGTTATCGACCATTATATGACTCTTCATCGTATTCTGTCAAATTGGAGACAAAAGAAACCAGAGGAGAAAAATAGAAAGCAAAGTTAGTTCAAACTTTTCCCAACATCTTTTTAGACATAAATGAGGATCATGAATTAAGACAACTTTGGAGTCACCATCTTATGTCCTTGGATGGTGGAGGCCATGATCTCAGCATTCCATCTCCTGATGCCCAATACCCTCCACCTTGCCTTGACTAGGTGCCTACAGGGTCTCTAGCATTGCCCTGGATTCTGCAGGTGACAGAGTCTCAGCTATTAGGAAATGTATATTCTATGTGTAGAGAAGTCATACAATGTGAGACCATGCCAAGGCCAAACAGGAACAAAGACTGGATAACATAGAAACAGCCTGTCCATCTATGCAATGGTGAACTAGGAAAGTTACTGATAAGACATGAATGGGTTAATCACAGAAAACTTCCTAGGAGCAGAGTGAATCTCCACCTGAAGTCAGAGGAGGGAAGGATGGAAGTTAGCAAGATGAGCAAGGAAGGGATTCTAGGTGGTTCTTAAGCCCTAATGATATCCAGCATTGGGCTAAGCCGGTAGAACTCTATTCTCTCTTCATGGTATCAGGCACACTCACCTGGCTGACAGAAAAGTGGGCCAAGTAATACTCTCCATTTTCATAGGTATCTGCAAACAAACAACATGGTAGACGTCATCTGGAGCTGTGCTACAGAATCCCATTCGCCTGCTTGTCTTGGTCAAAAGAGTAGGGATTGTTTTTACCTTATTTTTCTTCTTTACAGAGTTCCTTTTTGTAATTTAAGTCCTCTTTTGGTTAAAAGCTTAGGCTGCTAACCAAAAGGTTGGCAGGTCAAATCCACCAGCCGCTGCTTGGGAACAGTATGAGGCAGTTCTACTCTATCCTATAGGGTCACTATGAGTTGGAATGGAGTCGACAGCAACCGGTTTCAGGTAAACTAAAAAGACTCTGCTCCCTGCCCCGCCCCTCCACAAAATGATTTAAATGAGTGTGTACAGATGCATCTTCCTGGCCTAGTCGCCGCATACACCACAGTTTGCTAGCTCTGCTCTTAAACTACTTCCCTTCCTCGAGGTCTACCATTCCCAACATCTCCCTGTCTCCTCCTGCTAGATGCACACGTGTGTGGATATACATGCACGCGTGCCCACATGCACACATGCACAAACACCAAGACTAGTACCTTGGTGGGCTTATCTTTGAAAGGTATTAGGCAATTTTTAAAATGTGATCTCCAGAGAGCAAAAGAAAAGTCTTGGCACTTTATCCTCTATCTGTGATGTATGCCCAGGGAGGTCCAAGGTGCTGCCTTCCAGGGCAGGAGCACCGATCAGGAACCTGCTACAGGAATCCCATCGCTCACTCTGCCCTCACAGCTTCCCGCTCTTCCCATGTGCTGGCCTCTTGCTAATTTACTCACCACCCAATCAGGGGCACTGCCTATCATCCAGAACTGTGGGGTCCCAGATGTAGCCACTAGCCGAGCGTAACTGTACATTTAAATTAATCAAAATTAAATAACATTAAAAATTGAGTTCTCAGCTGCACTTGTCACATTTCAAGTGCATTTTCAACAGCCACATGTGGTTAATGGCCACTGTATTAGGCAGCAGAGGTACAGACATTGTATACCTCTTTTATTGATACGTGCATCCTCCTGCGAGTTTACCAATTCCTGTAAACCCCTGATGGAATGTTTCCCAAATACACAGCATGGCTGATGGGAGGTATTGTTTTTCTCACTGGGACATTGCACCGTGTCGTTAGTGAATGTCCCCTTGACCAGAGACCGCATGGAAGTATGTCCCGACCTTCTACAAGGGAGTGTTGCCTATGGCTCCCGCCCTGCTGTCTTCTGTGGAGGCTAGACCAGTGGGCAGAGGTGAGCCATTCAGAGGCAAGCATCAGTGACATGAAGCGGAAGGATCCTCCACAATATGGATTACACACCTGAAGGCAGCTAATGGCTACGTGCAAACTTGCAAGATTGTTAGACCATGGAAAAGGAACCAGCAGGCCTGTAAGACACCCAAGAACGTAGCCAACGGTATCAGTGTGAAGCCCAGCAGCCTTACTCACCAATGCTGTACCCGTCGTCCCAGAAGAGGCAGCCGTTAGCGGTGCCCTGGTCATCCAAGGCAACCTTGAAGCCCATGAACTTCTGGCGGCTGCAGTGAGGTGGGAGAGGCATGAGACAAAGCAAGGTCATGGGCACAAACCATGGTTTTTGATGAAAACATAAAGGAGTGAAAGGAAGTTCTTCGTGAAGTAACGACTGGATCCTGGGAGTCAAGAGACGGTGACCTCATCCTGGTTCTTTGACCTTCTTGCTACATAACTTCAGGTCAGGCATGCAGGAGTGAGTGAGGGAGTGAGACAGTGAGTGAGGGAGGGAGGGAGGGAGGGAGTCAGTGAGTGAGTGAGGGAGTGAGTCAGTGAGTGAGGGAGTGAGTCAGTGAGTGAGGGAGTGAGACAGTGAGTGAGGGAGTGAGACAGTGAGTGAGGGAGGGAGGGAGGGAGTGAGGGAGAGGGAGGGAGTGAGGGAGTGAGTGAGTGAAGGAGTGAGTGAGGGAGTGAGGGAGAGGGAGAGAGGGAGGGAGGGGGGAAGTGAGGGAGTGAGTCAGTGAGTGAGGGAGAGAGGGAGGGAGTGAGTCAGTGAGTCAGTGCGGGAGTGAGGGAGTGAGGGAGAGGGAGAGAGGGAGGGAGTGAGTCAGTGAGTGAGGGAGAGAGTGAGTGAGAGAATGAGAAACTGAGTGAGGGAGAGAATGAGTGAGAGAGTGAGAATGAGTGAGTCAGTGAGTCAGTGAGTCAGTGAGGGAGGGAGGGAGGGAGGGAGTGAATGAAATGAATCAATCAAAGGAAATGTTCCTTTCAGGCTCTTAAAGAAACTATAAGCAAACTGACTGGCTTCCCTCCTCCCACTTTGTAGGAAAAATCCTGATATTAGGTTCTTTCTTCTTTCATGCCCTAATTTCCTAGACACACCCACAGTAAGTTCTGTTTACAAACGTACTAAGTTCTTCAGCTTTTATGTGAGCCTTCGGAATCAAATGAGTCAGGCTTCAAGAATTTTGGGTCTGACATCAGACAGACATGGGTTTTAGTCTCTGCTCGACTACTTGGTAGCTGGGTGACTGAGTAAGTCACTTAGTCTCTTGACGCCTCTCTTTTCTCATCTGTAGAATGGGAATACTAACAGCACCTACCTCATAGGATTTTTTTGTTGTTGTTAAGAAAACAATAGGTAACACAGAATGAGAAATCTCCAGGTTAGTACAGCTCCTGGCACAGAGTACACATACACATGACGTTAGCCAGCACTGTATCATGTGCTATAATGTAGTATTTAGTATTAATAGAAAAACAATATACTATGATTAGTATTAATATAAGAATAATATAATAATTACATGAATTATGAACTAGGTCTACAGCTTTTAAACTTTTTCCATGAGGCAGCTCAGCCTCAGACATCAGTTGGAATGTGACATCAGTCTTCTTAGCAAAGAGTCGATTAAGACCCAATCAGTCTTCTGAAACTGTTTCAGGAATACTGGTTTCTCCTGTATAGACTCCCATTTTAAATCTTAGCCCTCCCGTCTCACCTGCTTAGATCTGAAATAGTTGTTCGTAACTGTTCAAAGAGTGCAAAGAGTTTGAGGTTTGAGAAAAGTCAAAAAAAAAAAAAAAATCAAGCCAGCAAACAAAACCCCAAGTGTGTACTACAACTGCCGTAGGCCCCAGGGTGTGGATGTCACAGGGGTCTGAGTGGACCCGTGTTATGGGAAGCAGCAGCCCAGCCCCGTCCTCACCTCAGCTGGGTGTTCTGCGCAGGCTCCTGCCAGGGCAGGATGTAGCCCCCACGCACGTGGAGATTAATGTGGTCAAGAGGGGCTGGCAGCGTCCTCCACTCTCCCCGGGCATTAATGTCCACACCCTGTGGGCCATAAGAAGGTAAGAGGTGATGAGAGCACACACACACACACATAAGTAAAGACATACTATACACACACAGACACACCTCACACACACGCATTCTCTTACACACATACACACACACAGAGACACCACACACACAGACATACCACACACATTCACAAATGCATTCTCTTACACAAAGACATGCCACACACACACAAAGACATGCCACACACATACACACGCTTTCTCTTAAATACATACACACAGAGACACACTACACACACACACAAAGACATAGCACACACACTCGAACACACATTCTCTTACACACGTACATAAAGACATACCACACACACACACACACGTGCACACGTGGCCATGCCCACTCCAGCTGACACTTGCCCTCTGCCCCATGTCCCCTGCTCTGGCCTGGCTGCCCGCCCACCCCCCTCCAGCACACTCCTGCTATGACACTCCCCCGTGTTTACCCAGGGGCTACAGGAAGTCTCCCTGCCGCTATAACATCCTGCTAGGACCCCTTGCCTTTGGGGGGTTTTACAGCATCTGCTACATGAGGTCACAGGGTGGATCACCGCCATCCCCACTCCACATCCTGCTTTTGTGTCCCCAGGCACTGCCACAGAAGACTGGACAACCTTTCCACTCATTCCAGTTGGTCCCATACACGCCCCCCCACATGGGTTTTCTACACCCTCCTTGCACCGAGAGCCCACTTTTGCTTCATCACCCCTCACTGCCCCACCCTCACTCTCACCAACCTAGCCAACAACTTCACAGACAAAGCCAGAGTCTGCTGACTCGACAAATCCTTATCTTTACCTCAGCATGTCTGCCTTTACGCCTACCATCTTTATCTTGCCTGGCATGTCACGGGGAGGTGCTCCCACGCCCCCAGCATAAACCCTCTGTTCCTATGGGGCCCCCCATCCGCATTTCCTCAGGCATGCCCAGCGCCTCCCAGCCTGGGCACCATGGACACTTTGGGATGGGTTGTTCTTTGCTGTGGGCGGCCGTCCCGCGCATCTCTGCCCACTAGATGCCACACTAGCTCCTCCCCCCTGGGCACCATGGACACTTTGGGATGGGTCGTTCTTTGCTGTGGGCGGCCGTCCCGCGCATCTCTGCCCACTAGCTGCCACACTAGCTCCTCCCCCCTGGGCACCATGGACACTTTGGGATGGGTCGTTCTTTGCTGTGGGCGGCCGTCCCGCGCATCTCTGCCCACTAGCTGCCACACTAGCTCCTCCCCCCTGGGCACCATGGACACTTTGGGATGGGTCGTTCTTTGCTGTGGGCGGCCGTCCCGTGCATCTCTGCCCACTAGCTGCCACACTAGCTCCTCCCCAACCCTGTTGTGACAACCAAAAGTGTTTCCAGATGTTGCCAAACGTCCCCTGGGGGACAAAACTACCCCATTTGAGAAGCAGTACTGGGGAGATGGCGCCCTGGTGGCTCAGTGGTTAAAGTGCTCTGCTGCTAATCGAAAGGTCAACGGTTGAAACCCACCAGCTGCTCCAAGGGAGAGAGATGTGACAGTCTGCTTCCGTAAAGATTAAACCAAACCAAACCCCTCGCCATCGAGTCAATTCTAACCCATAGCGACCCTATAGGACAGAGCAGAACTGCCCTATAGAGTTTCCAAGGAGCGCCTGGTGGATTCAAACTGCTGGCCTTTTGGGTAGCAGCTGTATAACGTAAACACTGTGCCACCAGGGGTCCTCCATTAAGATTACAGCCTTGGAAACCCTATAGGGCAGTTCTACTCTGTCCTGTAAGGTTGCTATGGGTCAGAATCAACTCAAAGGCAATGGGTTTGGTTGTTCGTGTTGTTTTGTTTGGTTTTTTTTGGTTACTTTGGAGGAAGGGAGTGAAACTACAAAGCACTCTGTCCTTCTTGGTCCCTGATGTTTGATTTCCACAGATTCACCTTGTATATAATGTAGGGTCGGGGGCAGAAGGTGGGGGAAGGAAGCACAGTCATGAGTACTACATTCCCCAAGGCAGCCCTGCTTCCTGGGCCTGCCACAAGACTCTGCAATCTAAGAACCAGTTGCCATGGAGTCGATTTCAACTCATGGTGACCCCATGTGTATCAGAGTACAACTGTGCTCCATAGGGTTTTCAATGGCTGATTTTTCACAAGAAGGTTGTCAGGTCTTTCTTTTAAGGTCTCTCTGGATGGAGTTGAACCCCCAACACTTCAGTAAGAAACCAGGTGTGCCAACCATTTGCACCACCCATGGACTCCTAGGTGTTTACTACCCACTGCCGTTGAGTCAATTCCGACTCATGGAGACCCCATCTGACAGAGTAGAACTGTGCTCCACAGGGTTTTCTTGGCTATAATCTTTATGGAAGCAGACCACCAGGTCTTTCTTCCACAGCACCTCTGGGTGGGTTTGAAATGCCAACCTTTAAGTTACTAGTCGAGAACAACACATTTGTGCCACCCAGGGACCTATAAGTTTACTAGAATGAGTAAAATCACTTGCCATAAACTGCATTGTGCAAAAGTCCTAAGAACTTAGACAAATTCTAAGTATGTTCTTCCCTGGCACATCCAAGGCCCCAGAATCCTACATCTGCTTTTATTTACCATCTTGAATAGTGGTGGGGTAAGGAAAAATACAGACTAAGACACAGAACCTCCACAAGGAGCCGGGCCCTGGGAGAGGTGCTGCCTGTGTTACTTCACAGCAACCCCATGAGAGACGAGGTCTTACCCATCTGAGGGTGAAAAAACTGAGGCCCCATGATTGAAGTGACCCCTCCGACACCACCTGCCAGCTGTGTTAGGACCTGAGGTCTGTCTTTGCGCTCAACCATGCTCCCAGGTTGGATAAACAATCAGAAAACGTACCGTGTAGTAATCATACCAGCGGGCTCTAGGGAAATACGCGCTGACGTTTCTGGCATTCTAGAATTAAACACAAACAAGGAGAAGGCAGCAGCTCTGTCATCTAGGATCAGAGTAACCAGTCTGCACAGGAACAGGGTAAAAACAATAGCAGTGGCCTTGGCCCCACTTTCCTCCTCTTTCTAGAGCTCAGCAGTGAGGGGATGCTTTCCTTCCCTTCCCCCTTCTCAAACATTGAACATTTGCCTACCAGAAACTGGTGGCTTCCATAAAGCCTTTTGGGATCCAAGACTTTGGGAAAAGAAACCACCATTGGCGTGTAGGTCACCCCATGCCCTCTGTAAAGAGATGGAGTGAGGCTGGGCCTGGGGTAGGAGAAAATTTTGTAGATGTTACAGCGTCCATACTTCAGAAAACTATGAAGAGTGCAACAAGGTTTGGGAGGAGGCAGTTGGCTGGTATTTTAATCAGATACCCAATCATCACCAAAGGAAGTAAAGAAACAGCTTTGTTGCCTAAGAACCTCTCATAGAGGGAAGGGAAGGATTAGGTGACAACAACAAGGTTATACACACTGTTGCAAACAATTGTTCTCAACGGTTTTGTTTTACTGCCCATAGCGGGTTGTGATGAATATACTCCTGCCCTTGCCAGAACCCGAACTCCTTACTCCAGTTAATGGAGTAATGACTTTATCTTTGACTATATCATCAGGGGTTATTTCTTCCAAATTATCCTATGAACCAGTATGACTCTGTACATTTCAAAGAGGAGGGAGCTGAGCCCCAGAACACACAAGTGACAAACTTCAGCTCAGAGGACAGAAAGAGACAGAGGTTGAATACAGAAGCTCATCTCATAGTCCGAGAGCAGCCTCTTCTCCTTACTCATCCCCTCCACCTGCCTCCTAGCCCAGACCCTCCATCCTTCTAAGGCTGTACTCACAGGCTCCAGGACAGGGCTGACCAGGAAGGCAGGGCCCAGCAGGAACTGACCGTCTATATCCCAGGTCACCTGGTCTGACACAAACCTGAGAAGGGAAACCAAGGTACCACAGTCAGGGCTTCCAACAGTGATGAGTCCAAACCCTGGAGACACTGACCAGCTTGGGGTCCAGTCAGAAATCCAGTCTGCTTTCTGGGCTACCCTCTCCTCTTTCTGTACGAACAACTGAGACAGATGCACACAGCCTCACTTTCTACATGTCTGTCATGGGCTGACTTGTGTTCCTAAAAAAGACACGTTGAAGTCCTAACCCCTGGTACCTGTGAATGTGACCTTGTTTGGAAATAGGGTCTTTGCAGATGTGATTAAGTTAACATGAGGTCATACTGGAGTTAAAAAAAAACCAAACCCATTGCCATTGAGTAGATTCCGACTCATAGCAACCCTATAGGACAGAGCAGAACTGCCCCACAGGGGTTCCAAGGAGCACCTGGTAGATTCAAACTGCTAACCTTTTGGTTAGCAAGCATAGCTCTTAACCACTACGCCACCAGGGTACTGGAGTAGGTGGGTCCTACTCTCACCTGAGTGGTGTCCTTATAAAAGAGGAGAAAAGACGCAGAGAGACAGAGGGAAGATGAGCCACTTGAAGACAGAGGCAGAAATGGGAGTGATCCACAAACCAAGAAACACCAAGGAACACCGACCAACACCAGAAGCTATGAGAGAGGCAAGGGACAGTTCCTCTCTCAAAGCCTTGGAAGGAACCAACGTGGCCAACACCCTGATCTTGGACTCTCAGCTTCCAGAACTGTGAAACAATACAGTACATTTCTGTTCTTACAAGTCTCTCGATTTGTGGTACTTTGTTACAGCAATCCTAAGAAACTAATATGATGTCATATTGTCCAAATTCCAGAAATGGTTGGATTTAGACACGTTCTCATCTATAAAATATCTGTTTCTTATCCATGGAATATTTTAAATGCAAGGATAGCCTTCCTTCCTGCCCTGGAATTCCTTCTTTTGTAACCTGAGCTCATGTTGGCCTAAGTCCACATGACAAAACTGCTACAAAAGACAGGTAGACGTTTGCATGCCCGAATTAGAAATAAATTATTCTGTGCCATCTTGTATCATTTCGAACATTATTTTCACTCAATAGCCTTTTATCAAGGACCTATGGCATGGATAACACTGTGCTAAAAGAGTAATAACAGATGGTCTGTGCCCTGCAGATCTTATGGCAAAAGGCAATCCAAGACATTAATGTGATTAGGAAGAATTTTCTTCTTCAACTGCCACCACATGGAATGGATTATCCATTGGTCAATGGGACCATATAGAATGGATTATCCATTGGTCAATGGGACCATATAGAATGGATTATGCATTGGTCA